AACTGCCTAGATTGTGCCCCATACTGGAGCTGAAACATGTCCTAAATCATAACCTGTTTGACAAGAGCCCTAACCCTTAGCCAAGTCTGCCAGCTGTCTGCCCAGGGCCAGGCTTCAGGCTCCTGGATGTACCCTCATGTCCATTTACAGATAGATACAGCCCTCTAGCATTGAGAATCCAACCTCGGTTGAGCTCCTCCTGTTCCAGTACAACTCTGTAGAGAGGAAGGCTTGATTAGGGGAGGTCAATGCTCCTGATGCCCCTCTGGAGGCCAAATATTCCATTATCCAGTTGGCTGATTTGAAAGGGACCGGCTTTACAGTCCGGACTATCTCCACGGTCCCCCTTCCCTGGACTCCTCCCTCTGGGTAGTGGCCCTTCTGTATTGTGGTGAGATGCCCAGCATGACTTAAACCTGAGCCTAATCAAGTGATGAAATTAACCAAGTGGCCCTCCATTCTTTATATTTAGAAAACACTCTGTTTTCAAGTGGATACCAAATTCTTCGGGGTTCTTACCGTGGTTTTAAAAGACATACTGCCAAACAGTTTCACCATCCTATGTTACGCATGCCTGGAGGGCAGTGACCTTCTTCCCCCAAAGAGCTAGCAGGGGCCCCAGATGCACTGGTCAGTGCCTCCTTCACGATTATTGGGCATTTTTGGTCACGTGGCCACAAGGAAGAGCCCAAAGATCCAATCACATTAACAGGGTAAAATATTTGGGCAGTTTATTGGTATTATGCAGAAAATTTTAACCATGGAATGTTTTAATAAATACAACTGTTTTGTTTTACAGAGCTAAGGCAAACTGCTTTCCGGCGTAGTTATAATCACCACAGATCTCAAACTAGTGGCTGCCACTAAAATGAAATCATGTCACTGGATGAAATGTACCCTTCTTCCAATATGCATCTTCATTCATGTAGAAAGAAGAAAAAAAGCATGGGGAAAAAAAAAAAGCATGTCTGAGTGGCTCAATCGATTAAGCATCTGCCTTTGGCTCAGGTCATGATCCCAGGGTCCTGGGATTGAGCCCACATCCTGCATCAGGCTTCCTGCTTCTCCCTCTCCCTCTGCCCATACCCCCTCCCCAACCTTGGGCTTGTACGCACGCTCTCTCTCAAATAAATAAATAAAATCTTAAAAAAAAAAAAAAAGAACAGTTGATAGGATCATAGATTTTTTATAAAATATTATCAGAAACAACATAAACCTCATAAGTCATTGTGTTTGTATAAAAGCTAAATACTTCAAACTCTATGTAGTCAAAAAGTCAAGTGCCGTGACTTTCACTTAAAGATGGAGATTGAAAATATCATCTAATACTCCTTCCAAAACCCCACTGAAACTACACCAAAGAGGCTTATTTAAAGACATTCCCACAAGTTGAAGATGGCAATGACAGCAACGCTTTTGAAGGATGTACATGCATGGTCAAGTGGAAATTGACTTGCAGGCCTCAAAAAGGCTTCATTCTAAGCAGCAGTGGCACTGAGGATGAATCTAGTTTCCCCTGAAACCTCAGCCTGAGACCCAGGAAACATCAGCCTGAGGCCCAGGAACTGAGAGAGGAGGGTGACAGGGAGAAGATAAAAGGGATTTGTTATAAGAAGTAGTAGTTAGATCTCTTAAGTCATTGGCCTTCCTTACACAGCTGAGCAACTTTCGGAGAAACCACAGAATCTCTGGACTGGGAAACCAAGTCAAGAGCAGGGGAGCTGTGCCCAGAACCAGGGGGATTGAGTATGCATATTCAAAGCTGACTCCCCAGGCAGAGGGGACTGCCTCCCCTCCCAGTCTCACTCCCAGAATAATGGCAGACAGGAATTTATCCTCCATACAGGAGACTAGAAGCACATTCTGAGCAGCCTAAGAAGAACATTTAAAGATGGACAATAGAGGCTCTAAGACAAACAGCTGCCCCACATCACCTGCATCACAGCTTTTTATTTGAACACCCTTAATCATGCTTGCACAGTTAAGAAATATCAGGCATCTGGGGAGTCTGGGGGATTCAGTTGGTTAAACATCCGATTCCTGATTACGGCTCAGGTCATGATCTGAGCATGGTGAGATCAAGCCCCATATCAGGCTCCACACCCTGGGATTCTCTTTCTCCCTCTTCCCCCACTTCTCTCTTCCTCCCTAAAAGAAAAAAAAAAAAAAAGAATTATCAGACATCTGAAGTTATAAGCCCTTGCATAAATGTTGGAATAAAATACGTAAACAGAGAAAGGCAACTTGAAGGAAACAATGACTAGGCTGGCAGGGAATTAAAAAGTTAACTAGTGTCTACAGAAAATAAGAGAAGTTTTCCACCAATAAAATAAGAATAGGAAACTCCAAAAAATAAAGACACAGAGAAAAACAACAACAACAAAAATGTAAACGTGGTTGCAGTAATAAAAACTCAATAGACCAGAAGATAAAGTAGAATAAATCTTGCAGAAAGAAAACAAAAAGAAAAAAATCATGAAAATTAGGAGGGAAAGCATAAGCAAATTAAAAGACCAGTCCAAGAGAAGTCCCTCAAAGAGAGACGAGGGAAAACAATTATTTCCTCAATGAAATAATTTAAGATTTCTGAAAATTTCAGGATATACATTTCTAATATGAAAGGGCTTACCCAGTGTCCAGGGACAAAAACAGACCCCCACCAAGGCACATCACAGAGATATTTTAGAACACAGGGGACAATGAGAAGATGCTGTAGGTTTTCAGAAAAGGTGAAGAGGAAAAGATCACATTCAAAGTAACAGGAATCCAAGTAATTCTGAAGGTCTCAACAGCAATACAGGAAGTTAAAAGAAAATGGAGCAACACACTCAGAATTCTGAAGGGAAATTAATTCTTAATAATATTAAATAACTTCTCAACTCAGTGTGACGGTAAAGATTTTTCAATGAAAAACTTTACCCCCACTTCACACACACACACACACACACACACACTTTTTCTAAGAGAGTTTCCAAAGAATACGCACAACCAAAACAAGAAGGTAAATCAAGAAAAAGGGAGACATGCTTTAGAGTGTAAAAGAGATCCAACACAGGAAAAAACACAAAGGAATTTTCATATTTACCCAGGCTGATGCACCAAGCATCTGGACTCATACAGGCCCACATGCTTCAGAAGAGATTAAAAAAGATAAAATTGATATAATACCCAACACATATTAATGTATCAAGAAGATATTTCAACATCTGGTAGACATGTGCACCTAGAAATAAGTGTGTACATAGAAAACTAGGCAAATGAGAAAACAAGACAATTCTTAACTGAGGGAAAACTATAAGTTGAGCAGTAAAGAGGAAGTAATCATAGTTTTCTATATGACTCAACAGTGAGTAGCCTACAGAGTCATAAAAATGTAACCCTGAACATTGAGTCAATCAAAATTACAATAAATCTCAGTCAGCAGGATGAACAGCTGAGAAGAGTTTATGACTAGGTTTGGTAAGAGTGAAAGAGACAAGATATCTAAATCCTCATCAAGGGGCGCCTGGGTGGCTCAGTGGGTTAAAGCCTCTGCCTTCAGGTCAGGTCATGATCCCAGAGTCCTGGGATCAAGCCCTGCATCGGGCTCTCTGTTCATTGGGGAGCCTGCTTCTCTCTATCTCTCTGCCTACTTGTGATCTCTATCAAATGAATAAATAAAATCTTTTAAAAAAATAAAAAAAATTTTAAAAAATTCCTCATCATGACAAGAAGTCAATAGGTATTATCTAGAGTTGAAAAAAACAAGTATTATCACAAACTTGGAACTTAGAGATACGCAGGCAATAACAGAAGTAGTGCTTTTTCCCCCTAATGCTGTGCCTTTTATCCCTGTAACTTACTCATTCCATAACTGAAACCTGTATCTTCCACTCCCCTTCATCCGTTTTGCCCACCCTCCCATCTCCCTTCCCTTCTGGAAACTATCAGTTTGTCATCTGTATCGCCTAATTCGGCTTTGTTTAGTTATTTATTTAGATTCCACTTATGAGTGTGATCATATGGAATTTGTTTTTCCCAATCGGACTTATTTCACTTAGCAAAATACCCTCTAGGCCCACCCTAATGTTGTTTCAAATGGCACAATCTCATACTTTTTTTGTGACTGTGTAATAACCTGTCATATATACACCACATTTTCCCTATCCATTTGTCTATTAACCTAAGTGTCCATCAGTAGAAGTGTCTCTATTTTTTTTTAAGATTTTATTTATTTTATTTATTTATTTGAGAAAGAGAGTGAGAGAGCACAAGCCAGCGGAGAGGCAAAGGAAGAGAGAGAGAGAAGCAGGCTTCCCGAGCAGGGAGCCCCATGCGGGGCTAAATCCCAGGACCATGGGATCATGACCCAAGCTGAGCCTAAGAAAAAGTATCTTGAAAAGATGAAGGTAGATGCCTCTGGGAAAAGAAATATGGAGAAAAAAGGTTGGAGACTATTTGTCTCTGCAAACTTGGTTTTTGGTTTTTCGGTTTTTTTTAAGATTTTTTTTTTTTTTTAATTTGACGGATACATAGCTAGAGAGGGAACATAAGCAGGGGGAGTGGGAGAGGGAGAAGAAGGCTTCCAGCTGAGCAGGGAGCCCGATGATGAGGGGCTCAATCCCAGGGTCCTGGGATCATGACCCCAGCTGAAGTGAGACGCTTAACGACTGAACCACCCAGGTGCCCAGAACTAGTTGATTCTTTACATTATATGCACATTTCACTTTAATGAAAATAACAAGCTCACAGAATTTCTAAGTTCATGCAAAATAGTACCAAGAGCAGTGGTTTTTCGTTAGACCCAGAGACCCAGATCTAAGTACAGGAGGCAGGAGATATTATGACTTTCGTGGGCCCCTCCCACTACAATATCAATATTTAAAACTATTTGCTTGGTATAACTTAAAATATCTCAAGGGTTTCTTTTTTCTTCTTAGGCAAAATTCAATTAAATTTCATAGGCTCTTTAAAAATATTGAGCCTAAGCACTATGCCTCCTAGGTAAATCCTCCCTGCAAGAAAAAGAAAGGGGGAAACACAGATTTATGTTTCCTCTGTAAGTAACAAAGTTCCTTTTTCTGGGAATCAAAAATTCTAGGTCAGAATGATGGGAAATTAAATGACTTCAGAAACAAAGTTTTATTTGCTCTGATACCAATACTGTTAGTACAAAGCCATTTTACACAATGTTTACTCTTGATTTTTCTAAACGTATTTCATAGCAATAATATCATGTTGAAATGCTTGAACCCAGCAGCTTAATGTAAACCAGTATTGAAGTTGTTGGATATATTTTCAATTTTCCATAGGGTTATTCTCAATTGAATACAATATTAAAAGACTTCTATGTCTCCAATTCTTTCTCCGTTATTATAAAGTGAACCTGACATTTGCTCTTGAGTTACAATCTTTATACAACTATATGAAGATTGTATCATACATTGTGATCAGCTTAATCATTCCCATTTCAGTTGGTTAGGTTGAGATCAATACTTTATTCCCAAAGATGAAGGTGAAAACTAAGAGAGTTGTTTTAAAAAATCTTTTCGATAATACCTCACAGTTGTGCAGCTTGATACATTTCTCTGAGTACTTTCTCTTTTCTACTTGGATGTCTATCATCTCCATTTCAGGGTATCTATAATGAAACTTCTCTTTAGTACTCTCTCCCTCTCTTGACTTCCTCAATCCATTAAATTGGTACAATTCTGGTCACTGTAACTTAATCCTAGCTTGAACCTAGTATTCCTGCCTCTCTTCCCCATCCTCAATTATCGAATGAATTAGTAAGATCTATTGACTCTTCCTTTGCATTATTCCACTCATTTGTGTGACCCATTCCCAAACCAATCACCCCTTCTCTTCTCTGTACCTGAACTTCTGTCATGGCCTCCTAATTGGCCCCACTCATCCAACCCTTCCTCCTTCAATCAATCCATCCTCTGCTTTTCCATCACAGCAACTTGCTGGCATGGTGGTCATGATGTTCAAAAGTATTTGACAGCTCACAATTGCCTGTGGGATAAAATTGGTCACTTGCGTATAGTAGCAAACAATTCTTGCTATTCTCAGACTCCTTTTCATCCATTTTTATCAAAAAGTCCTTTGTAGAGCACCCCCATGCCTTTGTCACTCTGTTGTTTTTTCTGGAATGTCATCTTGTGGCTTCTCCTTCCCCTTTATTAATGTGCCTCAAGCCCATCTTCCCGTGGAAGCTTTTCCTAAGTACTCATCCCATGTACTCATGTGTCCTCTGTATTCTTAACATTTTGTTGTCAGTACACTCATTTAAAATGTATCATATGCTGCTTTGTTATGGTTAGTTACAGCCTCTTATTTATATATCTTGTTGTCTAAATAAATTAAAAGTTCCTTGAGGTTCTAGAGTCTGTCTAATCCTCACATGGTGTTGATCACCTAGTATGTGTTCATTCTGCAATGGACTAATGATGGAAAAATATTTTTTGTTGACTATTTCCATGTAGAAAGAGGGCACTGTAAAATGTGAAGGTCCTTAACATCACTGAACTGTGGTATTTATTTTATATATTTTATATTTATAATATAAATTATATATATTATATATTTATAAATATATAAATATATACTATATATAATTTTAATCGTAATAAAATAGACATGTGAAATTTACATATTTTTATATATGTATACACACACACACATACTGAGGTTCATGTTTTATATATCCTCATATAGCTAAACTTTTAATGTACTATCTACTTAGTTTAACAAACATGAATGATTTAGAAGAAAACGTTGGTTTCAAGTTCTAGCTCTATCAGAGACAAACTAGGTAATGACTCTGGGCAAGTTAACCTTTTTTTTAAAGATTTGTTTGTTTGTTTGTTTGTTTATTGAGAGACAGAGCATGAACCCAGGGAGGAAGAGAGGGAGAAGGAGAACCAGACTAGCTGCTTAGAAGAGAGCCTGACAATAGGCATAATCCCAGAACCCCAGGGATATGACCTGAGCCAAAGTCAGATGCTTAACTGACTGAGTCACCCAGGCACCCAAAGTTCTTAACTTTTAATGCCTCCATCACCCGGTCTATAAAATGAGTAGATGGATTCACTAGATAATCTCCAAAGGCCCAGTTCTACGAGTGTAGGACTTTACATCTCTGGAGAACACACATCATCTCCAGAATTAGGGAAGAAAGTGGTCTATCTGGCTCTCTTCCCAGATTTGCAAACCAAACCATCCGAAGTGAGCATAACCTATTCCACTCCCAGCCCCGAGGATTCTAAAAACAGTTTGGGAAACTGATAGCCCCTGTGGATCTGCAGGACTGTGATCCTGCCCCATGCTGGCTGTGCCTCTTTTTCGGGAATTCCAGCCAGACTTGTGCTCAACCTGCCTCCTGTCCTAGCAGGACTCACTGGACCCAGGCTCCAGGGGAAAGGATCAACCCCTCCTTCAGGTGGGGCCTCTTAGCAAGCCCCTAGCTCCAGCGCTTCGCATGGGGGAAGGGTGGGAAAAGGAGCTTTTTCTTCCCTCAACTATAGCGTATCAGGGACAGCTCGAGGAGACAGGTCTCCTTCATTAGCTTAGCAAGATTTCTGAGCAGTTTATTAACTTCAGATTTTCAGTGGAGGGACTTTTGTCTGTTTTGCGGTTGCAAAATCCCTTAAAATACATATTTAAAAAATTTTCTCACTCTTTGGGAAAGACTACTGTTTTGATGGTTGTCCTTTGAAATTAATTATAGAAGCGGAGTTATTTCATTTGTTTGTCTTTTGTTTTGTAAAGTAATACTAGTAGGTTTTGTTTGAATTTGCAAAAATCTCTAGTTCAACTTTTGGCTGAAGTTAGTTACAATAATTACAAATCTGTTAACCAAAACAGCAATAATTTCAACAGTCTTTAAAAGTGCTAGCACCTTATAAAACCCCAAAGGCTTAATTTATACATGCAAAGCTTGGAGCAAAGGATGAGGGAAGGGGGACTGTCTTCTTAATTGTAGATCACCAGACCATCCCTGCTTTGCCAGGAGTCCTGAACAAAGGGGAAAGCCAAATGCTTTAGGACTGAGATCACCCTATTCTCAACCAATCTTTGTTTAAAAAAGAGAGAGGAAAGAAAAAAGAGAGAATTTCTTGCTGTCATCATCTTAATAAGTATTTAACTGTTGAGTGGCTAACAGATTTCTCTACGAGACTTCAGCTTATTTCTATAATGATTAAATAAAACTGAAACTAAGTCGATGAGGAAAGTTGGACCATATCAAAATTACAAGTTGGAAAGAAAAGGTCAGCAGCAAGATTAAAACACAAAAACATATGAATAAATTTTGGCTTACTTCTTGGCATTGTGCCACAATTTTTGTGAGTAACAATCCTTGTTTAATTATCACAAAATGTTATTTATTACCAGGCCACTCCTACTAGAACCTTCTCTGAGATCTAGTCCCCAGGTGGCTCAAGCCAGCTGCGCCAGAATCCCACGTATATTGCTTATCTTTCTTCGGCTAATGGTATGGTTTGTTCAGTATTAACTTGAGGGACCATTACATCAACAGTGCCAAGATCCCCAGGGTTAACTTCTTTAATTTCTAGAAGTCCTCGTTGTTCATTTTTCAGTCTTTGTGATTGATTAACTGTCTGGGGTTGGTGGGATGAATAGTGTGGTTACTCTGGCATTTCCCGGACTTGACCTCTAGCCTCTCCTGTGGTTTATCTTGAGTAGCCAAGGTTTGGATCCTGCCAAACAGAGATTCGGTGGTTATCATCATTTTTCTGGTTATGTTGGAAAAGAGGTTTTTCTGTCAGTGCCTTTGTTTCTAATACCAGTTGTGTGGTTTTGTGATTATACTGCAATTTCTTCAAAAAAAAAAAATTTCAGTACTACTATGATACTTTTTTCCAAGAGTTTCCTAACCAACACATTTTTTCAATATTAAAAGTAATACTGATTTTTTTTAATCGAGAAGATTTTCTCCTAAAAAGGAAACTCAATCCCAGTTTGTTTATCGGTTTCTCTAAAAATTAAGTTTTTCTGTCTTTAACCAACATGTTCAGCCTGCAGGCTGGGCTGGAGGTAGAGAAGGTCACAGGAGAATTCTTCCAAAGGAGAGAGTGTAAATGTTTCTATACCCCTTTGATGAGTCAGAAACAGAAAACTAGGGGCTGGGTAACAGCTCACACACTAAAGAATTCTAGAAAAGAGCGAAGCCCTCGGGCTCAATGATTTCAGAGCTATATTTCTCTCCTTGAAGTTAGCTTTTGGTAATAGATGTCAAGAGGTGGGGTGGGGGGTACAAAACAGAGATCAGGGCGACTGTATTCCTTTTTGGCCATTTTGTCCCATTGTATGATCATGTGTCTATATATAGAGAGAGGTATGATTGACATAGAAAAAAAAGCTGTACATATTTAATATATATACATGTATATACCTTGGTGAGTTTGAAGATAAGCATACACCCATGAAACTGTCACTATAAACAATATAACAAACATAATCATCACCCCTGAAAGTTCCCACCTTCCCTCTTTTTTAATAAGAAAATTCAATATACAATCTACTCTCTTACCAGTTTTTTAGGTATACAATACAGTATTGTTAATTATATACACTATGCTGTGCAGTGAATCTCTGGGACTTAGGCATCTTGTGTAACTGTAACTATTATGCCCTTTGACTAATATCTCCCCAATTCCCCCTCCCTTTGTATTATTATTTTTAGTAGGCAAATAAAGTCATCATTAACATGAAAGAGTTGAATTCTCTCCTTGTGAGGCTCCTAGTAAACATTTCTTGCAACCTTGGAACTCTTAGGTAAAAATATTCATCTACATTTATTTCATGACCATTTTAAATAATGAATTCCACATATTCTCATATAAACAGAAGCGGCAACACTCGGAGCCCACAATGTGTTTCCATTCCCAGTTCCGCTAGTCACCAGCTGTGACTTTGGGAGGATATTTAGCCTCTCAGTTCCCCCATCTATAAAATAGTGATAGTAATACGTCCTAAGAATACTCGTATGGTGTTACGAAGGACCCAGTAAATACAATACATAAATGCATTTAGTATAGTTCCAAAAGAATGGCATTCCATAAATCGTTATTATGCTTTAGATTTTTTTCAACAGAACCTGATACATAGGAAAGGTTTGAACACTTTACTTTGTTTTTATTATGAGACTGAGCTAAGGCCTTATAAAAATCTTATTTCCTTGTTAAACCTTACAAATAGGTGTGATATATATTTTGCAGATAAAGAAATTGAGGCCTAGTACTGTGGGCTGAATGTTTATGTCCTCCCAAGATTCCTATGTTAAAGCCCTAACACTGATGGGATGGAATTTGAAGGTAGAACCTTTGAACATTAATTAGATTTAGAAGAAGCAATAAACAGGAAGCCCCCATGGTGGAATTAGAGCCATTCTGAGAGGAGAGGGAGACCAGTACTCACTCTCTCTCTCTCTCTCTCTCTCTGCCATGTGAGGGTACAGCGAGAAGATGGCTGTCTACAAACTACCAAGAGACTTCTCCATAGAAACAAAACTGGCTGGCACCTTGATCTTGGACTTTCCAGACTGTAAAAAAAATAGATGTTTGTTTGGTATTGAAGTCAGCCAGTCTATGGCACCTTGTTATAGCAGGCTGAGCTGACTAAGACACTTAGCAAAGCTAAGTAAGGTCACCCAAAATCACACAGCGATAAGTAGTAGCCCCAGAATTTGGCCAAGTGTTTGAAGCCAAAGCCTGGGCTTTTTCCACAAAGTGCCACTGCCACCCAAAGTAAAAGAGACACTTCTTAGGTTTCTTCAGACAGAAAGTTCCCCTGAGCCAACCTGAATCCAGCCAGGACACTTGGCTGTGTTACTACACGTATGTTATTTGACTTTCCTGTGCCTTGCTTTCTTCACCTGTAAAATGGGGATAATCATAATACTCTATCTCACAGCATTGTTGAGAGAATTTTATGGAGACGTATGAAATGTTTAGAACAGTGGCTGGTGTGGAGGGAATTTTCTATTATTGTTATTATCACTGTTTATAACCCTGGAATCAACCCAGATCCGTCTTTGGGAGATGGGAGGAGAGAGCAACAAATGCTTTCTTCTCAGCATACATTGTGAGACTTTACCTAGGACAATACCGGTGCGTTCCTGGTGGAGTAGTAACTTTGTGGCCTCCCGAAACCATCCCTGAGGGATTTTAGAGCAGAACTGTACTGGTCACCTGTGGGAATCAGCCGCAGAGCTTTGCAAAAACAGTTCACAACCCATCCTCCCACCTCTCACCCCACTCTCACTCGCCTCCCCCCGCCAAGTCCTACCACGCGTCCTGAACAGGGAAAAAATGAGACCAAGGGAGGTTGCATGATTTCCCCAAAGTTCAGGGCTCTTCCTACTCCAAGGTGTTAACATTCACACAGAGGTGCTGTCTGACCATCGCAGGTCCATTACCAGGACAACTCTTCATCCTTCCCAGCCTAAAGAAATAGAGACTCACTAGAAACGCTGAACTAGTCTCTCAGGCCAGCAAGCCTTCTCCTGAGTACCAGGGCTGTTGGAAAGCTGAGGTAGAGGCAAGAACTGCGTGGCTGCTAGTGCTCCCGTCCCCTCCTCTGTGAGCTGGGGGGACAAACGTGGAGAAAAGGTAACTCACTTGAGCCGGCTTGTGTTCTTGGCCTGGCATAAATTCCGTAGGACTCTGCCTGTAAACATGTCATTTATCCTCTATGTGGCTTAGCCCCAGTTTGAAAATAATCCAGGTTATCCTTTTGAAAAGCATCTTATCTCTCTTTTGTGTTCTTAACCAGAGGCGACCCTCTTTTTTCTGCTGTTGTGGCTGCTGCCGACCCTGGGGTTGAGGCCGAATCCACAGATCCCGCAGAAGACCCAAGTTGCTCATTTACTTCCTCTCCCACAAGCTTAACTCTGCGTGTAGACCCACCGAATGGTTTTCGTAACAGAGATACTACTGACTTGTCAATGTAGCCTTAAAAATGAGCAGAGGCTTTCTCTGAGATCTCCCAGGTGTTTCAAGAAATCTAAGACATAAGGAGAAAACAAATCTCTTCAAGGCTCTCCTGAAACTGATTGGTAAATGTGGTCAAACAACTGCCTTAGCCATTGTTTTAAAATATAGGAACTCAGTCTCTTTTTGACGGTTGTTTCTAAGTATCTCCCAGGCCGGGATAGCTAATAAAATGGGAACAACTGGAGTCCTCAAGAGAAAACCAAGTAATTGTTATAAATACCCAGTCTTACCCATTCAGAAGCTAAGCTGGAAACATGCCAGTGGCTAAGAAGGATGCTTCAACATTCCTAAAAAAGGAAGGAAAAAAAAATAGTTACGGGGACTTGTTTCTAGTTCTTGATACAGATACTCCCTACATGGAATCATTCCTTTGTGTTTGCCAGGCGCAGAGGGCTGGAAGGCAAACCGTCATTTTTTAACCTGGTGGATTTTTCTCCTGAAGCCCAGAGGAAAAAAGAAATGTTTTCTCAGAGCGAACATCCTGTATTTCCTTTATTGTAACACTCATCAATCTTATAATTGCTTGTTCAATATCTGTCTTCCAATTAGACTTTAAATTCCATGAGAGTGACTCTGTTTTTCTTATTTGCTACTGTGTCTCTGGTTGAGAGCCCTGGCACATAGTTTGACGCTCAGTAAATATCTTTTGAACAAAATGCTGAATAAATTACACAGAAGCCATAGCCTTCCACAGGGGTGATTGGAACTAGTAAGATTTACTTTGCAGATGAAGCCACTATGTCGAGTTGAAATTGCCATTATGTCTCCAAAGGGGTAGCATATATAATGGAATCAATGAGATGAAGGGACGAATTTCTAGTTTTGAAGACAAAAGCAGGGAAGAATCTTGCAATTGCAGTGAACCTGGTGTGAGGACCTTGGTCATCACTAAGAATCAAAGAGAAGAATCCCCAACTGCACATAGATCCGGCTACCTTAAAGTATGTTTCATCTTGGCTGCTTGGGTGGCTCAGCTAGTTGAGCATCTGGCTCTCGGTCTCAGCTCAGTCTTGATCTCATGCTCATGAGTGTGGGCCCCCACACTGGGCTCCATGATGGGTGTAGAGCCTACTTAAAAAAATGTTTTTTCATTTATTTTATAGTACATTTTAGTGTTTTAGGTTCAGTTTGTTTTAACAAATATTTTTGGTTTTAGATTTATCTAAAGGTTTTAGATTTATTTAAAGGCAATAGTGTGAGAAAGTAGTTATATGAGTGGTTTAAACTGCATAAGTTCTACAACCCAATGACCATCTTAAAGCCATCTGGGGCACATTGCTGGTTTTGTTATTGATAAATAAAAATCTTGAAAAATAAACTTTTGGGAGAGGCTGGATGGCTCAATCAGTTAAACTAAGCATCTGCCTTCAGCTCAGATCATGATCTCAGAGTCTTGGGTTTGAGCCCCATATTGGGCTCCCTGCACAGCAGGGAGCTTGCTTCTCCCTCTCTCTCTGACCATACCCCCACTAATGCTCTCTCTCTCTCTTGCTCTCTTTCTGTAAGTAAAGAAATAAAGTTATTTTTAAAAAAATAAAAATAAAAAAATAGACTTCTAAGTTAAACATATGAAGTGTGCAATAGTGTCATAAATGCTATATGCTTTAAAAAACTGAGAAAACAACATCATCTCATTGACACAACTTCTTTTGATGGAATGACTGTCTATCTGAAGATATCATGATGAAATCCTACACGAAAAATAGTTTAGAGTGTATCTCTGTTGAACTTCAGTTCTTGTACGTACTATCTCTTCTGAAGAAAACGGAGAGAAATAGACTCAGAATTGTAACAGGAGATCAGAATCAAAATTTGGAAAGCCAGGAAAATGTAAAGGAGACAAATATACTGACTTTTTAATTAAGGAATTTTGAATAGACAACACTTAAGAAAAAGTCACTTGTAGTTGGGCACCTAGGTGGCTCAGTTGGTTAAGAGTCTGCTCTTGGCTCAGACCATGATCCCAGAGTCCTGGGATGAGTCCCACATCAGGCTCTCCCTCTCTTCTTTACCCTGCTTGTGCTCTCTCTTGCTCACTCTCTCTCTCAAGTAAACAAATAAAATCTTTTTAAAAAAATCACTTGTAGGGGCCCCTGGGTGGCTCAGAGGGTTAAAGCCTCTGCCTTTGGCTCAGGTCATGATCCCGGGGTCCTGGGATCGAGCCCCACATCAGGCTCTCTCCTTGGCGGGGAGCCTGCTTCCTCCTCTCTCTCTCTGCCTGCCTCTCTGCCTACTTGTGATCTCTCTCTGTCGAAAAAATAAATAAAATATTAACAAAATAATTAAAAAATAAAAAAAATTTAAAAATCACTTGTAGTAATGTATACTTACAAATTTAAATATGATTTGATTTAGAAAATCTGCAATTTGGCAGCTTTTTGAGGTATAATAACATACAATGAACAGCACATATGTGAAGTGTACCATTTGATGAGTTTTGATGTATATTTATATTTGTGAAACCATATCACCACAATCAAGTAAACCTATTAGCCTCAAAAGTTTCCTCATGACCCTTTATAATCCCTTCTTCCTGTTTCTTCCCCTAAGCAAACTGATTCTCTCTCTCTCTTTCTTTCTTTCTTTCTCTCTTCCTAGGTAAGCTCTACGTGGAGCTTGAACTCACAACTATGAGATCAAGAGTTGCATGCTCTACTGACCGAGCCAGCCACGCACCCAATCTTTCTTTCTTTTTTTAATTAAAAAATGTTTAACTGTGATTTTTAAAATAACATAAAATTTATTATCTTAAGGATATAACAAAGATTAAAGCAGAAATTATTGAAATTGAGAATAGAAAAAAATCAACAAAGCTAAGAATTGCTTTTTGAAAAGATCAACAAAATTGAGAGTCCCTTAGATTCACTAAGAAAAAAAGAGAAAAAAAAACTCAACTAATATCAGAAATGAAAGAGGGGACATTTCAACCAATGTTACAGAAATAAAAAGGACTATAAGACACTACTATGAACAATTATATGCCAACAAATTGGGTAACTTAAAAGAAATATAAAAATTCCTAAAGCAGACAACCTACGGAGACTGAATCATGTAGAAAAAGAAAGTCTGAACAGACCACAACTCCTAACAAGATTGCATCAGTAAACAAAAACCTCCCAACAGATTCCCCTGGTTCATAGATGTCTGGCCTAGAGCATCAGGAAAAGACTAAAGATTAGACTGTAAGAAAATACAGAAGCCATGTTTCAGAGACACAAATTACAGGTAGTCATCAGTGTAAGACATGAGTCTCACATAGCTAGCAGTTTGGTTCTCAAAAGATCTCTAAATTGTATGCAGTTACTTGGGAAGGTGGGTCAGGACTCTGAAAAGGGGTCTTGAATTGATGTGGAAGGGAAAGTAGGTTCAGGTGAATGCACGGATAAAAATAATTTCAAGTGACAGGCAATGATCATCATAGCAGGTAATATACTTCCGGGTGACCAGACAAAAGAAAAGGCATAGAATGGATTGATTCTTCTTCTTTGGCCATTGTTTGATAGCCTCATTCCCAAATCATGTATAGTCTCTCTAGTTTCAAAGGACAAGGATTAAAATATATATACCTCCCAACAAAGAAAAGTCCAAGACCGGATGGTGTCACTGGAAAATTCTACCAAATATTTAAGAAAGAATTAACTCCAATCCTTCCCAAACTCTTGCAAAACGTTGAAGGGGGAATATATCCAAATTCATTCTCTGAGTATTACACTGATACCAAAGCCAGATAAAGACAGTGTAAGACAACTCCAGATCAATATCCCCAATGAATACTATGTAGAAATCCTCAACAAAATACTAGTAAACTGAATTCAATAGCACCTTAAAAGGATTATACACCATGACCAAGTAGAATTTATTCCTGGATGGTTCAATATCTGACCAATAAACATAAGAAAAAATGCTCAATATCGCCAATCATCAGAGAAATGCAAAATCAAATCTACAATGAGATATCACTATATACTCATTAGGATGGCTACTATAAGAAGAAAGAAAGGAAGAAAGGAAGAAAGGAAAAAAGGAAAGAAGGAAGAGAGGGAGGAAGGGAGGGAGGAAGGAAGGCAGGCAGACAAAAAGTGTTGACAGGGATATAGAGAAGTTGGAGCATTGTTGGTGGTATTTTTAAACGGTGCAACCACCTTGGAAAATAGTATGGCAGTTCCTTATACTATTTCATTTCATTTCAGAGAGAGAGCACAAACAAGGGGAGGGGCAGAGAGAAAAGCTTAGCAGGAAGCCTGATGTGGGACTGGATCCCAGGATCCCAGGATCATGACCTGAGCCAAAGGCAGACGCAGATGCTTAACCAACTGAGCCACCCAGGCGTCCCTCTTATACTATTTTAGTTATTCATTTAATTAATTACCTTAAATTCATTTAATTAATTACCTTAAATTAATTACTAATTTAATTAGTCATTTTATTTTAATTTAAGTAGAACTACCATATGATTTAACAAACCCACTTCCAGATATATATCTCAACAAAATGAAAGCGTGGTCTAGGAGATGTTTGTACATCCATGCTCATAGTGGTGCTATTCGTGATAGCCAGAGGGGAAAAATACAAATGTCCATTGGCAGACAAATGGATAAACAAAATGTGGTCTACACATATGAAGGAATATTATACCATCTTAAAAAAGAAAGAAATCTTATCACAAGCTACAACGTGGATGAATCTTGAGGATGTCATGCTAACTGAAATTATCCAGTCACAAAAGGACAAATATTGTATGATTTCACTTATAAGTGTTATATAAAGTAGTCAGATTCAGAGACAGAAAATGGAATGCTGGTTGGCAGGGGCGAGGTGAGGGGGTATTGTTTAAAGGGGATAGTGTTTCCGTTCTGCAAAAAGAAAAAGTTCTGAGGATGTTTCCTAGCAACATTACATACAATATTTCACAACAATGCAAATATACTTAACACCACTTAACTGTACCCTTAAAAATAGTGAAAATGGTAAATCCTATGTTTTTTTTTAACCACAGTAAAATAAATTCTATAAATACATAAATAAAACTGACCATACCAAGCACTGACAAGAATGGGGAGGGACTGGAATTCTCATACATGGCTAGTGGGAATATCAAATGGTATAACTCCTTTCGAAAGTTTCTTCAACTCCTTTGGCAATTTCTTACAAACTAAACATGCCCCTGTTCCACTCTAGGAATTTACCCAAGGGAAATTAAAGCATAAGTTTATACAAAGACGTGTGTAAGAATGTTCATAGTAGGGGCTCCTGGGTGGCTCAGTGGGTTAAACCCTCTGTCTTTGGC